GAGAGTTAAGAGATACTACCAAGACTAGTTTCTCAGTGCAAGGCTACATCCCAGTACCCTGACACAGAATCAATCTAAAGGGATTACTTATTTTTGGAAATTAAATTTGTGATTTCTCTGATCCTGAAAAAAAAAAAATGCTCATGAGCTTACTCATGGAGCAGTCCCAGACTGTGTTGAAAACTGGAGGTATTTGGTGCATTGTAGTAAGTAAGTGCAAGGATATTCTCAGGATCAGGCTCAACAAGGCAAATAGTCTTGTTGCAACAAAAAAACACCTGCGAAACTGGTGTTTTAATCAAATGCAGTCACAAAATCACACTGCTTGTTCATTGCACCTGTGGAAAGAGGATTTGGAAACATGAATGTGAATTTGTTTGGGACAAATATGTCTCTGTCACAGTTCATATCCCAGTACTGAATTTTTTGTAACTGGCACCAACAGAAATTGTAGCTGAGAAATTTAATACATGAGAGCTTGTAAAGCCAGGAGCTGCTACTGTGACAGTGCCAACAATTCCATGATGCCAGTTAACGTCAGCTAGCTAATACTGGAATTGCCAGAGCCCATTATCACTTGTGACCTTGTTCACTGAAAGATAAGAGTCCCAAAATAGAAATGCAGATACCTGTGAGAAACTAAACAAAAAGCCAGAAATAGAAAAACATAGATATGAGATTGATGAATGTTAAAGAGTTCATAGAAGTCCCTGATTCTGAGTTTTCCCTGAGATAACTGAAGTAAATAATTCCTTAGAGATAAACCATTTATTCTCCTGCTGATGAATCCAAAAGGAACAATTACAAAGACCTGGTCATGAGCTTTTTAATAAATGTAGGCACTTAGTTTTCCACCTCTGACCTATTTTGTTTCCAATACAGCATTTTATGGAATTTAATGGGATGTTGTGACTTTTTGCTTTGTGGTATTATTTTCATCTTTTCCCTTACTCCTCTCCCCCAATCCTGGGAATTACATTCTACTAAAGCAGAGCTAATCTGTCATTCCCTGCATTCATTTTTTTTTGTAGCACTTGAAGGAGTGACCAAGTAAGATGGTCCTCATATAGTCTATCTTGTCTATTTCTATCAACCTTGGAAGTGAATTTCCTTTCCCTGGGATAACTTAGGAACAGTGGACTGGCCAGAGGCACTCACACATGTAATTTAAAAAGCCACATTTCTGCAGGGCCTGTGGCTCAGGAGAGTACTGAGGCAAGTAACCTCACAATTGCTGCAAATCAAGTCCAAGCAGCCTCTCTGCCCTTTCCCCTTCTCTTCTTTCTCCAATAAAAGATGAAAAAACTGCCTAGGCTTTGCTTATTTGTCTTACACATGAGATTAAAATAGATCCCTACTCTGCAACATAATATTCTCTGTAATAAAACGTGATCTGCATAGCTGGTGTTAAGAATATTGTTAAAGTAACATCTGTTTCAGTTTATCAGTGCCTGTTTCACTGACATACTACAAACCTTGATTAATATTTTTATAAGTATTTGCTATTTTTTCTAAAACTGCTATATTAAATAGTAATACTAAAATAATAACATAATAATTGTGCTATTATTATTCTGTGTAACAGGTGTAGATGCAATTGAACACTATATACACATTCCCTGTATCACAAGGGCTAAAATAACTAGTCCTGAAAGTTTCTCACTAAGGGCCACAGAATTTACTCCAGTCAAAACTCAATTCATTGTAAGACAGACTAGAAATGCCAGGCCAAGCCTTCATAGTTTTAATGAGATGAGATTTTTAATGAGATGAAATTTCTTACCACCATTAAGTCTGTAAGGATCAAAGAAAATGTTCATTGAGTTAGGATGTGCTAAGAAAAGTGTAAAGAAGAGCATAAATGGCTCAGGAATTCCAGGAATCCCACTGGATTAAACAGCCTTTTATTAAATGCAAGTGTTTTCATAGTTGAATGATTTCAAAGAAGGGCCTCAAGTGATGAAAGTGTTTCCATCTAATGTGAAAATACTTGGAAGATGCTTATTCCACGTGAAAATATTTCCACCTTTCAGAAAAGTCTGAATACAAGACTCCTTTGATGAATATACTCTTGTACAAGGTATTAATTTTCAGAATTAATGTACAAAATATCCAGAGTTCTATTATTTTGATAATTAATAGTGCCTTTCATCTCCTATAACAGCCAGACAAAATATTTCAGAGTACTTTACAAAATAAGTGCTTGAGTGGCATAGTGAAAAATTTTGATATTCATTATCATGACATCGCTGCAATTTCCCTCAGGGCGTTAGTGACCTGGAAATACAGTGCAGCATCTTCAGAGAAAAAGCAATGGGATCTCCTTCAAACAGAGGATGTGAGATACAGACAATATATACCCTGTATTGTCCTCCTCCCCCCTTACCTAAAGCACCAGTAACTACTTCCATGCCCTCACCAAAAACCATACAAGGGTACAGACCTGAAATGCTCAGCTATCCCACCAGTAGTACTGCACCCACCAGAACTGTCTCTTTTTACTGTTTTTGTTTTTTATCCTTTCTTTTCATCTCCTCAGGTGTTTTTCTCAGAAGTAAGGGGGCAAAGTCACTATCACCGGCCTGAACAGCTCCTCTTCAGATCAGGGTAAGGTTTTTCTCTGTACCTTAACCATTCCCTGTTGGGAGTTGCTACTCCTGAAAATGCAATTCATTGTAAGATGGGAAAGCACTAATGAAATAAGCCACCCTGCTCTTACACCCAAATGGAGTAAGGAAGGAGTTGGTATGACTCTTAGAGCTGACACAGGTCTCTTGGGGAACTTCCATCAGGCCCTGGGGTACAGCACCAATCACAGGATCCTGAGTGCTGGCTGCCAGTTTCTGGAAGCCTGTTCCAACTTGTGCAGTCAGGAAACAGAAACCTGCCTGAGACCAACAAGGGACTGATAATCTTGAGCCAGCCAAATACTTGTGAGTTCACATTAGAATCATAGCCTGTGTTTTTTCTTCCTATTTTATAATTTTTAGGTGTTCAGTTATGGTGAATAATCTTAATTTGATTATAGTAACTTCTAAATTGTCCACATTTGGGGAATAAACAGATAGCCAGTGTCTTTTTCATGACAATATAACTTCCAATACAGATAGAGCTTGATTCAAAAGGAAGCAGGAGTGTATATGCCAGGAATATGCAAAGAGATCATGACAGGATGTGAAGGGACATATGGCCCAGGGAATACAGCAGGCATAAAACTGGTTTGTGGTCTGCAATAATTAACTGCTTACAATTTGGTATTTGGTTAGTTTCTAGTTCCTGCACCTGAGAAAATAAAATATACCTCAGGCCCACAGAGTATCGTGGGGCTTATTTGATGCTTCTAAAGCTTTTCTAAGATGCCCAGGAAGTGCAAACTTCCATAAATCATATCAGCCAAGCTACAAAGTATGACTGAAAAGCTGAGGATCATTTTTTATCTTGTATTCTAAAGGTGAGAAACATGCAACTTACATAACTAACCACCAAGTGTCACTGTTTGGTATTTTTACATTTTTACATCTTTGTTCCCGAGTGCTTATAAAATCCCTTTAAAATGCAGTCCTGTAAATAAGGATTTTCCAGTAAGAATATTTTAATGCTACAAGAGACATGCATATCTGGCAAATAAGGTACAGGAAAATTCAAGTGTCTGGATATGCAGCTTTCAAGAGCAAGCCACCAAGTCATATCTGAACTAAATATTGTTCATATTTCTGGATATAATAATGTAAGTCCCATTGAAAAGAAAAATAAACCCTTAGGAATTTTATTTTATTTTTAAGCCTAACAATTTAAACTATTGTAGCAAATGCTGTTAAGAAAGGTAGACCACCCTTACTGAGAGACTGCCAGCTGCTTTGTCAAGAAGGCAAAGGATGCACTATCAAAAAGAGTGAACACGTTTTAAATAAGTTCCTATTGTGAAGAGTAATTCAACTTGACTTTAAAATGTAGTAACAGCAGACATTTAGACATCAGGAGATTGAACTTTAGCCCTGGGGTGAGGAGCCAACCTAGTCATCCCTGTTCCTAGAATATTAATATAGGTCATCATTTTTGACTGGCACAAAACCAGAATTTGCTGACAGACATTCATGTGAGCTGCAGCTCAGGAAGAAATTTCCAACCAGGCATAAAAAATAAAATCAAATTATCTTACACTGCATAATTTGCATAGCTTCCTTTTGGACTATTACTTCTGCCCCCCAGCTGAACTCTGAGCACAGCTTCCTAGTGTTGGGGATGTGCCCCTGTGTAGCTGCAATTTGAAAGATGTAAAATAGCTGCACAGCTTTCAAGATGTTTGTATCACAGTACTCTGTAGAACTTGGTATGCTGTAAGTGTAACATTCCTTGGGAAGATCCTTGCTGTGTGCCAATACTGGTTTATCTGGGTGAGCACTCACTCCGTCATTCTGAGTCAGCATCTGACATGGACACAATAGCCAGCAGCACATGGGTGAGCCAGTCTCTTCTGACATAATCCCAGATCACCAAACCTGTACAGCCTGCCTTTTATTTCAGGTGATTGCCTCTCGCACTGATCTCAGCCACCCTCTCTGCACTATCTACAGTCTGTACCATCCTTCCAGCATTGGCATCCCTTACAAATAATTATTTCTGGATGCTTCTGAATGAGGAGCAATGCTGAAACAGGGGTATCAGGTCTTGGCTAGTACAGATTATGTTCCCCCTTTCCTCCTGTCTGCACTGTTTAGCCCTCTAGTAGAAAACTGTTCTCTGCAGTGCTTTCTGCATGTATGGAAGATGTTCCCACTGAAACTGAGTATGACATCAGGGCCCTGGGTGCACTAAAGGCCTTTATGGCCTCACCTGGTGCCTCCATCCACACCCTCTGCCCGTGGGCCACTTTATTTAAGCTCAGACCTTGGCCTTCAACCAAGTCACAGTCATGCCTGTGCATAGCCGTGGACTCCAGTGATGGGGACTGTGACCTGTAGGCTGAATTCCCAGCTTGACCTCAGAACTGCCTTGTGTACCTGCCCACTGGTCATGGGACTGTGCCTGTCCCCAGCTACCATCACAGGGCCTGACCCTGACCAGCCCATTGCCTTCAGGGCTCCACCTTGTGCTTGCCTCATCACCATGAACTTCCCTTACCATCTGAACTCATGGCTGAACATCCCTGGACCTGCCCTGCTCAGGTGCTGTGGGATGGGTCCTGGCTGACAAATCTCCTGCCCCACTGGCTGCATTCATACTCTTGGCTACATGTTCCCTGGAAAGCAGGTGGTTTTTGCTGCTCCCTGGCTTGTGTAGCATACACCCAGGAAAGATGAGTTGCCTATGGAAACAAGAACGAATGTGTGCAAGAGGATTGAATGAGAAGAGAAGGCACACGTGAAATCAAGAATCTGAAATGCAGAATTGTATGTTTCTGTGAAATCCGTTGTATGAAATTGGGTGAAGGTTGGTAGGAAGTGACAGATGCTACAATGGGATGATTCCTGGGAAGGGAAAGGGCATAAAATTATAGAAAGGAGGAACAGTAAGCAAATTCAGAGGGGTAAAAGAAAAATTAACAAAAGCTATTAGAGGGACAGCAGAGGGAGAGAGTAATTACATCTTCTTATCATAAGGTACTTAGGCTTTTCTCTGTCTGAGGCAGAGTATTACAAAGGCAATATCCTGAACCAGGCATAACCCAGATCAAATAAAATAAGGTCAGTTCTTTCCCATGAAACAAATATAGCAAAGCAAGTGAAATAATTTTGGTTTTGTTTTGTTTGTTTTTTTCTGAAACAACAAAGATCAAACAAAAAAATTACCCCTGTGTTTTAGGTATGCAGTGAAATACCCAAGATGAAAAGACTGTCTAGTGGTGTTTGACACACTGTGCTGCCTGTGGGGCTGGTGGCGTGTCCTGCACTGCCAGGTGGGTGACAGGCCTGCTGGGGCAGAGCAGTGCAGCAGTGCCCCTGCAGCTGGCAGGGAGAATGGGGGGGCTTGGGTAGCAACAGCAACGGCCCCTGAGGCTAAGGAGTGATAAAAATAAAATCACAATATAAATTAAGAGGTAAAACTGCTGTGGCCCTTTTCAGTTCAGCCTGCCCTGTTGGAAGAAGGGTTAAAACGGTTGTTCATTATCCATGTGCTTAAGCACTTTCCATTCCTCTCCTCCTCCAAAAGAAGGTTTGATATTTTGGCCTCATTTAACACTGGTATTTTTTTAAGCAGCTCTGTATCCTGTTCTGAAAGCAACATTGGCGGCTGATACAGGTACCGTGACCTACCTGCCGCCTGGGCACAGGTGAGTGACC